TATTCTTAATCCATTACACCAGCTCGGCTTCTCCGCATGTCTGGTCCCCGCCTTGGCATCTGGCTCGGCTTAGTATCAGAAATAATGTTTCTCCCAACCCTTTCTCCACCCCTAGCTTGTACTTAACATTTTTAGCTGATAACTTTCTGTACAATCATCTGAAGTAATTTCCAAAGGACGATATATTATATATTACACATTGCCTATCATATATGTAACACTTATTGAGCATTTGTTATATGTGGGGCACTGTTCAAAATGCTTCTGTTAACTCGTCTGATTTTCACAACCACCCTGTGGTGTGGGTCCTGTTATTCCCATATATGCAGAACTGGAGAGAATGTGGTTTCAAAGTCAATTAAAAAGTTAAAGTTCCAAGTCAAATCAAACAAAAACAAACACATAGATACAGAGAACAGAATAGTGGCTACCACAGGGGAAGGGATGGGGGGAGGGTAAAATGGGTAGAGGGGATCAGCTATATGGTGACAGAGGGAAACCAAATGTTTGGTGGTGAGCACGCTGTACGGTAGACAGAAGTAGAAATATAATGTTTTACAAATAAAACATGTTATAAATCATGTTACCTCAATTAAAAAAAGTTCCAAAACAACTTTGAGTTTAAAAAATATACTTTAAATAGTTGTTAAACACACACTACTCTGACATGTTTATATCTTTAAGATTCAAAATCCATTTCATTGCTTAATTTTTCAACTAAAAGTGATTAAATTGTGGCTATGAGGCTGCAAATGAATATAACTGAGTTATCAAGAAATGGATTGGTCTCTTGGAGATTTTTGCTACTTATCACAGGGAAGGAAGGGGTGATTTTCCCCAAAAGCAGACAAGATTTTGTATTCTACAGTGTGGGGCTCTCCCACCCCAGGGATACAGTTTACAGATTATGTATTTGTTTGGTGTTCGTTTATTTGATTGCAGAGTAACAGGGAGGTGTACCCAAATAGGCCTTTTCTGGACAAAAACCTTGGCAATTGGAAGAATCTGCCTAGATTGTCTGTGAGGCTGTGCAAAAAAGGGGGTCAGGTAGGTCTGCTGAGACCAGAGGCCGGAGGGTGGGTTTGGACAGTGACCACCCAGAAATAACCAAGAAGACAGAGGTGGCAGAGGTCTCCCTCTATTTTTCCTGGCAAAATCCATGGCAAGGGAAGACAGCCCTTTGCCTTTGGAGGATGGGGCGAGAGCGATTTCAGATTTGTGTTGATCTTGGCAAGTGGAAGCTTGGAGCCAGATAGGAAGATTTACAAAAATAAGGAAATGTGGTATTTTTTATACTTTGAGGGTTGAGAAGCAATTCCTTCCCCTTACAGCCAACATTTGTCTTTCTGCTCTTCAGCACAACTCCTCCTGTGAGTGGACTAGTTTTCTCTGGGTCCCTCTGCCTCATTTTACTGCCTTGGCGCCCCCAGGTTGGCAGCAGCAGCTAGATGTCCACGAGCTGATGCCTGCAGACTTATATTGCCTTAGCTCCTAAGTCAGCGTCTCCCAAAGCCAAGGACACTACCCTTTGGTGAGCAGTTGAATGATCGCCCCCAGTCTGGGAACCAGCTGTGCCTGGTTCCTAAAAGGCTCCCCGAGTCTTCATGCTGTCCTTCAAGAATCTGAGAATTACCATGTGACCCAACAATCCCACTCCTAGGCATACACCCGAGAGAACTGAAAACGTATGTTCACACAAAAGCTTGTACATGAATGTTCATAGCAGTATTATTCTTAACAGCTAAAAGTTGGAAACAGCTCAAATATCCATGAACTGGTGAGTGAATAAACAAAATGTGAAATATCTGTTTAATGGAATATTATCCAGTCATAAAAAGGAATAAAGTACTGATACACCCTACAACATGGATGAACCTTGAAAAAAATTACACTGAGTGAAAGAAACCAGACACAGAAGGACATATCGTCTGATTCCATTCCTGCGAAATATTGAGAATAGTCAAATCCATGGGGAAAGAAAGTAGGTTTGAAGTTACCAGTGACTAAGAAGGGGGGAAATTGGGAGGAACTCCTAACAGGCCCTGGGTTTCTTTTTGGGGTGATGGAATTATTCTGGAATTCGATAGTGGTGATAGTTATACAATGTCATGAATAAAAACCACTGAATTATACGCTATAAAGTGGTGAATTTACTGTTATAGGAATTATATCTTACTTTAAAAACTTAAGATTCTAAAGAAGGAGGAAGAGGAGAATGGGTTGGGGAATAATCCATTAGCCTTGATCCATAGCCTCCCCTTCTTGGTGGCCCAGTGTGACATGTTACCCTCCCATCCTGAGGGTTCACTGTCTGCTCCCCTCCAGAGGACAGCTGATGGCTGAAGGCCCAGCTCCCAGGTATCATCTCTCCTGACCCCACAGCCCTGTCCTCAACTCCAGCTCTGCCTTGAGTGGTGGCTGCTGACCAAGCTCCCCAGCCCTGTAAGGGACCCTCTTATTTGAAGGCCCCAAACAAGCTCCCACCTGAGTCACCCTTGAGATGTGGACACTGTACCGCAGGGATCCAACTGTTCTGCAGCCAGGTCAGTTCCTTTGGCCTGAGAAAACAGGTCTTGGACTTTGTTCTCAGAAATAAAGATACCATATTGTTATAGGTGGAAGTGTGCCACCCCAAAAAGATATGTTGAAGTCCTAACCCCCACTAACTCAGAATGTCACCTTATTGGAAATAGGGTCTCTAAGAGGTCACCATGTGAAAATGAGGTCATTAGGATTAGGGTGGGTTCTAATCCAATACGACTGGTGTCCATATAAAAAGGAGAAATTTGGACACAGAGGGAAGACGAGGTGAAGACACAGGGAGAAGCCAGCCACGTAACTGCAGTGATGCACCTACACACCCAGGAGCACCAAGAATTGCCGGCAAACACCAGAAGCTAGAAGAAGCAAGTAAGGATCTTCCCCTGGTACCGTCCAAGAGAGCATGGCCCTGCAGACACCTGGATCTCGGACTCCTGGCCTCCAGAAGATCAGAGGACCAATTCCTGCTGTCATTAAGCCACCTAGTTCTTGGTACTTTGTTAAGGCAGCCCTAGCAAAATAATACACATACAAAAACACAGGGCTGTTTGGGTGTGGATGGCAGAGATTCACATGTTTTTAAAAGAAGAAACCATCAGTACTGCTCATAAAAAGGAACAAACTACTGACACACAGCAACTTGAATGGATCTCGAGGGAATTATGCTGAGTGAACAAAGCTGACCTCTACAGGTTACAAACTGTATGACTCCATTTACATAACATTATTCAAATGACAAGATTATAGAGATGGAGAAAAGATGAGTGGTTGCTAGGGCTTAGGGAGAAGGTGAGAGTGGAAGGTGGCTGTGACTAGAAGAGTAGTAGTGGGAGGGATGCTTTTGATAACTGTTCCCCATCTTGACAGTGGTGGTCACAGACACCTACATATGTGATGTGTAGTGCCCAGAACTGAATACACACGCTCCATTGAGTGCACGGAAAACGGACTAAATCTGAGTAAGGTCTGGGGGTTGCATCAATGACATTCCCTGCCTGTGCTGTTGTACTGGAGTTATTCAGGATGTTACCACTGGAGAACAGATGGAGACCCGAGCCCAGAGACGGCCCATCCTGCCTAATTTCACTCCCAGAACTGGGGATTTCTGATTGTGCATCCCGAGCTTTCTCACTGCACACCCGCTTCTCAATAATGTCAGGCTTAACTGGAGATCCCAAGAAAGAAAAAAAGCCACCTGCAAAGCAGCAGCTAGCCGAATCGTCTAAGGCACAGAGGTGAATAACTGTCGGTCCTCCCTCCCACGCCCGCTTCAAATAGTTTAAATGTTCTTGGGGAAGAAAGATGCAGCAGGAGTAAGAAAAGTGGCAGTGCCGGGAGCCTGGCAAGGTTCGGGGCAGGCGGCCTCGGCTTCGTTCCCGGTCTGGGCCTGGGCGCACAGGGCAGGTGACCGGGCCACCCCGCTGTCACTCAGCGTCACCGGCCCGGACCAGCGGGACGCGCGGCAACTCGTTCGCCAGCTCCTGGTCTAGGACCTTCGAAGTCGGAGCAACAGGCGGAGACAAGCGAGGCGAGGTGACCGAGTGGAGCCGAAGCCAGATGTGACGCCCACTGGCCGTGTTTACGGGAACTAGTCTGCTTCCCGAAAGCTTCTCCCACTCGTCGCGGGGACACACAGCGGAATGGACTGCTGGGGTCACCAGGGGCGAGAAGGGCAAAGCCGGGGAGGACCCCGGGCCTCCTCAGGGCACAGTCCGGGTCCCCGTCCCGCGCTGCCGGTGGCGTTGCGGGGACCGGGCGGCGGCGCGGGGGTCTTAGGGTCTTTTTCCAGGGGAGGGGGTGGGGATGCTGAGTCACGGGTCTGTCACCACTTCTCACCTCTCCAGCCCTCGGGGGCTAAAGCAAAAGCGAAAGCGAATGCGGCTCGCGGGGCGGCCGGTCTCGGAGCTGCGCCCGCCGCTTGCTCCCGGGCAGTGGGCATCTGAGCGCGCGAGCGGCGGGTCGTCGCGGCCGGGGCGAGCCCGGGAGGAGGCCGGCGGGGGCGCGGCCGAGGTCGGGCCATGTCGGGGCGACTCCGGGGCTGCGGGGTCGGCGCCCTCCCCGTGCTGCTGCTGCTGCTGCTCAGAGCGCCGGCGACGCCGGGTAGGGAGCGCGCGGGGAGCGGGAAGCCGGGCTGGGGTCGGCCCCCTGCACAAGGGTGTGCTCCTGCGCGCCGGGGACACGTGGAGGGACGCGGGGACCTTCGGCTCAGGGCCCCGCGCCCCGGCTCCCCTGGCCTCTCAAGGCAGGGAGCGAGTGGCCGGGCTTTTCATTCTACGTTTTCCCCAATTTCCGAGGCAAAGGGAAGAAGCCGGGGTTTGCAATGCGGGCTCGGAGTTGAGAGTTTTACAGCGACTTCCAGAAACGCATCAGCCCCGCGAGGAAAGCTGTGCGCGCGTGCATCCGCCAGCAGTACCCCCGGGGGATGGGGCGGTCCGGGGAAAACGACTGGTCTCTACCCTCCGATCAAAGCAGGTTATATGGGGGGGGGGGTAGGACGGGGTACGGACTGCGTGCGTCCCGGAGGAGTGAAAACGTGTCGGGCAGGTTGCACACCTGGGGGACCTGGCAACAGCTCCAAATTCTTCACCACTAGGAAACCGAGAGAGTGCGCGGGGTGGGGGGCGCGCCCCGGAGTACGCGGTCCCAGACAAACGGGGAAGAACGAAGTTGAGGATGGCTGGGTGTGTTCGGGAAGAACTTTAGGTCGCACAGATGTCATTTCCCGGTTAGACTCCAACGAGTGTCCTATAGGTTGTAGATTTTCGTCCCGAGAGCTAGACAAGAGGGAGGAGAAAGGAGAGATGGGTCTGGCTTTATCCACGTTGGCGCGCCTTAATCTTGTTACAGTCACGGAGCTCTTTGAGGGTCTGATGAAAGCTACGAACTCTCTCTGAAAAATACATGAATGCACATATTCCCAAAACTTGCATATAATTTTGGGGTTTGGGACCCCAAAGACCAACCATGGACTCTCCAGGAGATAGTAATCCCATGATCTGTGTGTGTGTGTATGTGTGTGTGTTTAAGGCAACACTCCTAATAACTTACCTCCAGTCGGGCCAGTCTACCCATTACTCCATCAGAGGCGTCCATCCACAGTTGTGGCTGGCTGGCCTGCTGTGAACCCATAGCTCTGAAGGCTTTCTTAAAGTTTAATTTTCCTGAGACTATGTTTGCATTTCCCCCAACTTCTGAGAATCTGAGTTATGTTGGTGATGGAGTCAGTTGGCTAGACAGTGTCCCACATGACCCCTGGGGAGATGTGGGGCACAGCCAGAGCACTGGGGCAACTCTACTGGTCAATGTGAAAGTGAAATTCAGCTTTAGTCAGAACCCAGCAAAGATGAGCCGTCTGCTTACAAATGCAGATGACACTGCAGGCAAGCTCTCTAAAGCTCATCAACCAGCATAGCTCTCAGACCCCACAAAGGCATTGCTGCCATCTTTTAGCCCCTGGTGTTTCTTAGTTTTTCTTAAACAGTTCTCTCGGAGGTACAACTGACAGATAATAAACAGTATACATTTAAAGGCACAATTTGACAAGTTTAGAGGTAAATGTATAGTCACGAAACCATCACCACGGTCAAGAGAGTAAACATGACCATCACTATCAAAATCTTCCTTACATCTTGCATTTATCCTGACCTCCCAGCCCTGTCCTCCAGGCAACAAAGATCTGCTTTCTGTCACTATTGATTTGCTCCATTTTCTAGAATTTTATATAAATGGAATCATGCAGTTTGTACTCTTTCTTGTTTGGCTCCTTTCACTCATAGTAATTATTCTGAGAATTCTCCAGCCTTGTAACTTGTATCAACAGCCCATTATTCTTTATTACTAGCACTGTTCTACTGCATGGATATTGCAGTTTTTTTTAATCCATTCACTTGTTAGTGGACATTTTGGGGGTTGTCTCCGGTTTTTGACTATTACATATCAGGCTGTTATGAACATTCACATATAGGTTTTTATGTGGACAGAGGTTTTTCTCTTGGGTAGAGAAAACAGCTAGGAATGGAATGGCTGGATCACGTGACATGTGTATGTTTAATTTTTAAAGAAACGGCCAAATTATTTTCCAAAGGAATTGTACTCATTTACACTCCCACCAGCGGTAGGTGAGAGTTCCACTTCCTCCGCATCCTTGTCAGCACTTGGTATGGCCAGTCTTATTTTGTTGTTTAACTTTTAAAATTTTAAAGTTTTTTACAGCTTTATTGAGATATATGTAATTGGTATATAATATTGTGTAAGTTTAAGGTGTACAACATGATGATTTGATATATGTGTATATTGTGAAATGATTACTACGATTAGTTAACACATTCATCATCATCTCACAGTTACCAAAAAAAACCTGTGTGTGTGTGTGTGTGTGTGTGTGTGTGTGTGTGTGTGTGTGGCCAGTCTGTCTTTTTAATCGTTCCATTCTAATAGATGTGTAGTGGTCTCTCATAGTTTTAATTTGCATTTTCCAAATAATGAATGATGTTGAGCGTCTCTTCTTGTGCTTATTTTCCATCAATATATCTTCTTTTGGTAAAGTGTCTAGTTAAATATTCTGCCCTTTAAAAAAAAATGAGTTATTGAATTGAGTTTTGAGAGTTCTTTCTATATTCTGGATACAAGTCCTTTATCAGATATATGATTTGCAAATATTTTTTCAGAGTCTGTGACTTGTCTTTTCATTATCATAAGCGTCTAACGAAGAGCAGAAATTTTTTTTATATAAATTTATTTTTTTTGGCTGCATTGGGTCTTCATTGCTGTGCATGGGTTTTCTCTAGTTGTGGCTCACGGGCTCTACCCTTCCTTGCAGTGCTCGGGCTTCTCACTGCAGTGGCTTCTCGTGGCAGAGCACAGGCTCTAGGCATGTGGGCTTCAGTAGTTGTGGCACGTGGGCTCAGTAGCTGTGGCTCATGGGCTCTAGAGCACAGGCTCAGTAGTTGTGGTGCACAGGCTTCGTTGCTTCGTGGCACATGGGATCTTCCCAAACCAGGGATTGAACCCATGTCCCCTGCATTGGCAGGCAGATTCTTAACCACTGCACCACCAGGGAAGCCCAGAAATTTTTAATTTGGATGAAGTTCAGCTTATTAATTTTTTCTTTTATATACTGTGCTTTCAGTGTCATATCTAAGAAATCTTTGCTTAAGTCAAGGTTACAGAGGTTTTCTTCTATGTTTACTTCTAGAAGTTTTATAGCTTAGGATTTACATTGATGTCTGTGATTCATTTTGAATGAATTTTTCATATAATGTGAAGGATGGCTTAAAGGTTTTGTATTGGTTTGGTTTAGGGTTTTACTGCATGTGGATATCCAATCATTCTGGCACCATTTGTTGGAGAGATATCTCTGCTGAATTGCTCTTACACCTATTTTGAGCATCAGCTGTTTATATATGTGCTGGCTGCTGTAGACAAAACATCAGTACATGAAAATCAATTATATTGCTATACATTAGCACTGACCAATTGGAAACTGAAATTTTTTTAAAAAGCAATATCACTGGCAATAGCATCAAAAAGTATGAAATACTTAGGGATAAATCTGACAAAAATGAGAAAGACCTGTACACTGAAAACCACAAACCACTGCTGAGAGAAATTAAAGAAGATCTAAATAAACGGAGGTATATGATGTTCATGCATTGGACAGATCAATATTGTTAAGCTGTCAATTCTCCCCAAGTCAAAATTCCAGCAGGCTTTCTTATAGAAATTGACAAACTGGTTCCAAAATCCACATGGAGATGCAAAAGACCTAGTATAGCCAAAACAACTTTGAAACACAACTGAGTTGGAGGATCAACACTTCTGATATTGAGAGTTAGAAGGCTACAGTAATCAGGACAGTGTGGTAATGGTGTAAAGATGGACAAAAAGCTAACAGAACAGAGGGTGCCTGATGTTTTTAAGTGAGCTTAGAAGTGGATACAGATGATTAGATTTGCTACTTGGCAGTATGATCCTGGTCAGGAATTATACAGGGCAGCTCATTCCTTACAATTAGCTGGGTAAATAATAGTCTCAGATCTGTTCCTGTTAGTTTTCAGCGTTAACAGACACAGCAAGTTGAAACCCATCATCTTGGCTAGGAGGTCATTTGCTTCTTTTTTTTTTTTTTTTAACATCTTTATTTGGGTATAATTGCTTTACAATGGTGTGTTAGTTTCTGCTTTATAACAAAGTGAATCAGTTATACATATACATATGTTCCCATATCTCTTCCCTCTTCGTCTCCCTCCCTCCCACCCTCCCTATCCCACCCCTCCAGGCGGTCACAAAGCACAGAGCCGGTATCCCTGTGCCATGCGGCTGCTTCCCACTGGCTATCTACCTTACGTTTGTTAGTATATATATGTCCATGTCTCTCTCTCGCCCTATCACAGCTCACCCTTCCCCCTCCCCATATTCTCAAGTCCGTTCTCCAGTAGTCTGTGTCTTTATTCCTGCTTTACCCCTAGGTTCTTCATAACATTTTTTTCCCTTAAACTCCATATATATGTGTCAGCAGACGGCATTTGTCTTTCTCTTTCTGACTTACTTCACTCTGTATGACAGACTCTAGGTCTATCCACCTCATTACAAATAGCTCAATTTCGTTTCTTTTTATGGCTGAGTAATATTCCATTGTATATATGTGCCACATCTTCTTTATCCATTCATCCGACGATGGGCACTTAGGTTGTTTCCATCTCCGGGCTATTGTAAATAGAGCTGCAATGAACATTTTGGTACATGACTCTTTCTGAATTCTGGTTTCCTCAGGGTATATACCTAGTAGTGTCACCCTTTACTTTTTGTCTTGACTTTCAAAATAATGAAAACTAGTGACAGAGTAATCATAATAGAAAATCTATTACTATGATTTGAGAATAGGAGTCAAAGAATTTCTGAGTATTTGCACTTTTAGATCAATGTTTAGAAGCCCATGAAAATTATTTGTTGTACACCTCCCCTAGGATGTGGAAGTTTCAATATTTCTCATGTATGTTTGCCTTATAAATCAACATTACCCTTCTTTTTATTGTCTGTTAATAATTTACATTATGTAAGTCATTACCATTTTTCACAGTTAGTGTTTTCTCTTAGGCACT